CATCATGCCATGTTCAATTACCCCATATTTTATTGGTCGAAGACTCTAAATCTAAGAGCTGCAAATTATGCATATATACATTATGAATAAAAGAATAGCCCAAAATAACATTGGTTCCACATTTCATCAAATTCTAGTATTTGATATTGATTAACAATAATGGCTAGTACTAATTTTCGAATCCATTAGAGTTGTAAATCTCTCATAGTAGGAAGAAAACAAGGCTTAACGTTCCAATTAAGAAATCGATCACTATATTTAGGACAAGAATAATGTTTCTTAAGCATTGCAATACACCAGATCGTTGTGAAAAGAGAATTTGCTCAAGAATGATGCACCAACGTAAAATTTTACTCAACCACGGCTCAAAAGTTGTGACAATTTAAATTTCTTTTTCTTCGTCTTCCAAACAAGAAGCACCACCAGCAGCGTGCATTATGCGATTTTCTCAAGTGATAATACGAGTCGACACAAAGAACAATTAATTAATAAGTGCTGATTATACACTTTAATTTAAGCACGTCTCCAGAAACACTGAATTATGTGTAGTTACACCAAGAAGGAGACTAGACTGACCCATATACTCATATATGAATTGGTCAAGAAAAGGAAACTGATGTCAGCTGCCTTTGGATCCTTGTTTCTGAGTTGATTTCATTGTTTATTTTGCTAACAGGTTCTTGTCAGACTATTAGAAGAAACTATTGCAACGTTATTCCTGTGAATCCCATACCCGGCCTATAAAATGCGAGTTCTACTTGTAATTCCCAACCAAAAAGCGAAAAAAAAATCCTAGAATTTCAAACAAAAAAATGGATTCGGCTAGAAATATTGGTGATCATACTGGTGAGCTTTTTCAAGCACAAGCTCACATATGGAACCATATATTCAACTTCATAAATTCTATGTCCGTCAAATGTGCAATTCAATTAGGCATTCCAGACGCTATTCACAAACATGGCCAGCCGATGACTCTTGATCAATTGATCGATGCTCTTCCCATCAAGAATGCAAAAGCCCCTTTCGTTTATCGTCTCATGCAGATTTTGATCCACTCAGGCTTCTTCATTGAAGCAAAGATTCCTGGAAATGAGAATGATAATCAAAAGGGTTATCTGCTCACTTCTGCTTCTGAACTCCTTTTAAAGAGTAACCCTTTTAGCATGACGCCATTTTTACTAGCCATGCTCGATCCCACCTTGACTGATCCATGGCACCATCTCAGCCAGTGGTTTCAGAATAGTGACGAAACCCCATTTTATACTTGCCATGGGAGGTCAATTTATGCTTTTGCAAGTCATGCGCCGTGGCTTAATCAATTCTTTAACGAAGCAATGGCTAGTGATACCCGGCTGGTTAGTAGTGTGGTGACCAAAGATTGTAAGCATGTTTTTGAGAGTTTGAATTCATTGGTGGATGTTGAAGGTGGAACTGGAACCTTTGCTAAGGCAATTGCTGATGCTTTCCCTCGCCTGAAATGCACTGTGCTTGATCTTCCTCATGTTGTTGATGGCTTGGAGAGTAGTAAGAACTTGGCCTATGTTGGAGGTAACATGTTTGAAGCCATTCCTCCTGCAGATGCTGTTTTAATGAAGGTATGAAATCGATGTTGCACGTTTTCTAGTTGACAATTTTTTTATAGTAGTGTTATTTAGATTTTTATCCTTATTGCCTGAGTTCATAAGATTAAAATTCACCAATTATAAGAAGTGTCAACTTCAAAAGTAAGATTGAGTAGTAGAAATTGAGGCTATGCTTAATCTAAGAACTGCATCATGAAGTGGGAAAAAAAAAAGAACAAAGTTTTAAACGTCAAATTGATTGCATGTGTTTGGTACTATAAGAGAATAGTTTTGTTTTTCCTTTTTGACGCAAAAAGCTTTAGATGGGGTGTAGTGTTTCTAACAAAAATTTTCTTTCATTGTGATATAATTTGCAATCGAGCAGTGGATATTGATTGATTGGAGCGATGATGAGTGTGTACAAATACTAAAAAAATGTAAAGAAGCAATTCCTAGCAAGGAAAAAGGAGGCAAAGTGATAATTGTTGACATGTTCTACAAAAGTCTGCAGAAAGGGGATGATGATCATGAGGCGATTGAGACCCAACTGTTCTTTGATATGGTAGTGATGGTTCTACTCAAAGGAAGGCAAAGAAATGAGAAAGATTGGGCGAAACTTTTCACGGAGGCAGGCTTCAGTGACTATAAGATAACTGCAGTATTGGGATTGAGATCTATCATTGAGGTTTATTATTATTAATTAATATGCTTTTTGAAAATGTTGTTTGTGCTAAAGAGCGATGAATCTTTAGTCAGGGTGTTCAGAATGAATTTTATGGCTTTGGAGTGTTTGTTTTACTCATTTATTGGCAATAGACAAATTGCCAAAGTCCAGTCTTGAAGCTGAACGTGGGCGGCTGATCAACTTGGTTCGTGCTTGTATCTTGAACCAGATTTACTCGCGAAGTTCACCGGATTTTCTGGCAATTGGGTATTGAATGAGAAGAGAAAAATTACAGCCGCTTGTATAAATAAATCCCATTTCCTCAGTTGAAGGGCACCAAAGCTCAAGTGAAAGATAGGAAATGAACGAGTTGAATTTTTGAGTGAGTGTTTGAGCAGCTATTCTCAAGAGTGAGGCTCAATTATTAGTGTCCAATATAAATTTATTTTGTGTGTTGTTATTAAATATATTTTGAGTGTAATAAAATTGTTCATTTGCCTCCTTTATATAAAGGATTTAATCCATTGATTTGGTATTAAACCCCACCACAATCCAACACTGGAATGTGTCCAAATCCCAGCCTGGAATACACCGCAAGCACATTATGTATAAATGGTGTGGAGTTGAGGTAGCTAAGGACAATAACTGTTTCCAACATTGTTGAAGTTGAAGTAGATGCATCGCTTCCGCTTTAAATTCAGCCATTACAGCTGAATGTAAGTTGAAGAAAGAACGGATAAACATGATGGACAAAAAACTGAAAAAGATTTTCAGTTCTTAACTTGCCTAAGTTGTACAACATTTTCTAAACAAAATGTAAATTACTTATTCAATTTCGAACAATGACATTGTATCTAATCAATATTCGTGTAGATCCATATATGTTTGTAATTTCAAAGTTATGTGACTTGCTTTTGGCTGCACGTTATCAAAATTTGCCTTGTTGAGAAAATCTTTCCCATACATCATTTGGGACGGTGGCACCTGACAACCGTCCCAGCCCATTCTCCACAAATACACCTTTCTTTTTCTTTTTTTTTTTTCTCAAACGGTATTCTTCTTATACATATATGAACTTGATAATAAAAGATTTTAGTTACATAAAAGGGCATTGGTCCTATTATCCTCCTGTATACTCTCTTTGAGCCACAGGGGGGAACTTTGTTTCCATATTACCTTGGAAACAAGTTTAGTTGCAAATTGTGCCATTTTATGAGCACTTCTATTTCCATCTCGATACACAAAAGAAAAAGTACAGTCTTGGAACATGTCACTCAAATGTCTAATATCTTCTATGATCGTGCCAATTGGTGTTTCACCCAAGCCTGTCTTGCATATTGTTTCAATGGCAGCTTTGCAATTAGTTTGCATTTCAATTCTTCGCCATCCAGCTTCTCTAGCCATTAGCAGGCCTTGTCTGAGTGCATCTGCCTCTTCCATTTCCGCACCACCCCTACTATACTTCCTGATGCCTCTTGCTTGGACAATGTTTCCATCACTATCTCTCGCTATCATTCCTAACCCAGCTCCTGCTGATTTAGTAGGAATCGTGGCATCAGTGTTTATCTTTATTACCCCTGCGTCTGGTGGGCTCCATAGATAGTTTTGCATTTGGTGACTCGTTCCTGTCCTATGCTTTTTTTCATTTTCCACCTGCTCCTCTTGGAACTCCAGCCATTCATTTTTTGCCGTTTCTAGTATGGCCATGTGCTCTCCACATTTCCCTTCAAACTATCGAGCATTTCTTGCCTTCCAAATTTGCCAGATGATGTTTGCTGTTAAAGTGATGTGGTCTTCTCCTCTTTGTCTGCTCCTTGCCTCTAATATACCTTCCCACCATCTCCAGAAATTTGATCTCCATTGCAATAATCTGTCCCACTGTATTGGGGCCAGCTTCCATATAGGGTCAGCATTATTGCAAAAGAAAATCATATGTTCCACTGTCTCCTCCCCCTCCCCACAACATTTGCATAATGGAGAGCCTTTTCCTGTTCTTTTGTGTATCAACTCATTTACAGGAATGCTGTTGTGTAGGCATCTCCATATGAAATGCTTTATCTTTGGCTTATCCTTAATCCCCACAAGCTCTTCCACACTTTTCCTTTATGCTGTGCGTAGCTGGTTCCTTCCTTTCCATGATTTTTCTTGTGTCTTTGGTTGACCTCTTCCTTTTCTACTGCATATCCCGACTTCACAGTGTAATTTCCTGATTTTGAGTATTTCCAATAAACCGCATCCTTTCTGGGAAACAAACTTAATGGCACAAACTTAAACCGCATCCTTTCTGGGAAACAAACTTGCCGGGGACTGGTGCCAGATTAATTTGTTTCTTTTTGAGTTTATTTTGTTTTCATTTTTGAGTTTATTTTTCTCTTATTTTTTTTTATTTTTTTTATTTTTTTTTATGGCTGCTAACATTCCATATTTTGATGATAGACTGAACTTTGTTCCTGAATGGGGTTATGAGACTCATGTTTTTCCTAATGATCAATGGGCTGTTGCAAATTGTGGAACTTATTTTGACTCAGGTTATTCAACTGACACATGCCCCGTATTTCAAGATAATCTAAGTTTTCCACTTGATACTTTTGGAGATTTTCCACCCCAATATCAAACGCAGTATGACCCTTATTCAAACGGGTATGATCAAGAATGGTGGGATAATTCCAATTTTGATTATACAACAGGGCCAATGAATTTTCAGCAGTATGAGTCTCAAGAATCATCATCTATGTCAGGTATGTCTCTGGAAGAAATAGTTGAATCAATAGCTATTAATACATATCAATTCCAACAGGAGACACAAAGGAGAAATGAGATGATGAAGGAGGCAATGAGTAATCTGGAAGATCAAATGTGTCTATTGACATCCAGAATAAATCGATGGGCTTCTCAAATGGAAGAATTGCCCTCGAAAACCGTTGTTGATCTAGAAGAAAACGAGAGTGCAATTTGCTTGACTAGTGATGAGGAGATGCAAGAGTGTCAAAATGAGAAATCTACAGATGCAGTTGAAAAAGAAGCCGAAAATGAAGAAATGGAACCCCAACCGCAACCCATTCAAGTGAATGAATCCAGTGAACAATCTCCAAATGCGGTGACATCTTCTCCACTCCTTAATCAATATTTTCCTGACTCCTATTCTTCAATTCCTGTTACTGAAATTGATTTTATTATACCAAAAAATTTGAAATTTCATGACAGGAATAAGTTAAGAGTGGCAATGGAAAAATATCTTGAACCGAAGAATGCATGTGATGGAGGAGTGAATGGAGAATGCAAATTATCGTTGACTTGTTTAGCACCATTTACTAGTCCATGGAAGCCCGTAGCTCGTGTGCTCAAAGATTACTCCATCTATGAGGGTTACCAGGATCATATTGAAGATGAAGCATTGAAGCGAGCCACAAGATTTTATCCTCCATGAACAAGACATAACAATGTCTAGCCAAAGACATTAAAGAAAGGCGCTTTTTGGGAGACAACCCAAATATTGATTTTATTATTTTTAATTGTTCAATTCTTTCGTTCTGTTGTTTCTCATTTGGATAGTAGTTGGTCTTGATATTTTTCTCCACTGTGATCAGGAAGTGAAATCTTGGCGTGCCCACGCGGTGTTTAGGTCTCCTGAGATCAGAGGACGAACACCAATCTTGGCGTGCCCACGCGGTGTTTGGGTCTCCTGAGGTCAGTGAATGTTTTGTAATCTTGGCATGCCCACGCGGTGTTTGACGACCCAAAACATGAAAAAAAAAAAAGTTTCAAAATTTCACATTGAGAAAATTCAAAAATTCAAAAGGCATTTTTCTTTTTCTTCAAAAATTCAAATTTTGGAATTTCAAATTCAGGAAAAAATTTGAAAAAAAAAAACATTGAGAAAAAAAAAACCCAAAAAGAAAAAATTAAGATTCAAAAAAAAAAACTATTTTTTTTCTCTCTTTTTCTTTTTCTCTTTCCTTTTTCTTTTTTCTTTTCTTCTTTTTTCTTTCTTTCTTCCTTCACCACCGCAGCAGCTACCCCACGCGACTCTCCTCCGCCTACCCCAGCGCGCAGCCCAGGCCACGCGCTCCCTCCTCCCTGCAGCCCGTCGACGAAGCCCACCAGCCACCACCAGCAGGCCGCGGCTCCTTCCCCCTTGCGCGGCCACAGCTCGCGAACCACCTCTCCCACAGCGCGCGGCCTTCTCCCTTATCTCTTGGCCGCGCGTCATTGGCTCGCCCAAGGGCAGCCGCCGCCGCCGTTCCTCACAGTCAAGCAATCGCAGGCCAAAGCCCACAACCCCAGCGGCGCCGCCCGCAGCTCCTCGTGCGCGACAGCCGTGCGACGCCGCGCCTCCCTCAGCAACAGCTCCAAGCTCCAGCTCACTCGCAGACAGCCGCGCGATTCTCAGCCATTCACTTCGCGCGACCCCGAGCGCACAATTCCGCGTGCCGCCATCGAAGACCGCCGCGCCTCTCCCTCAGCCCGCCATTGCGCCCCACCACTGTCCCGCTGTCTACGGTTGGGCACAAGGGAGGTACTTTTAAAAGAAATTTTTAATTTAAATACGAGAATGTCAATTTCTAAATTCTGGGGCTGTTTAGTGATTGTTTGGATTTCTTGGTGGATTTGGTTGGCCGTCTGATTAAATTCTTCCTTGTGTGATAACCAGTGGTACTGGTTGGGGTCTTTCGACCATAGTTGTTGCTTATATTTGGTCAGATGCCTGCTTGTTTGAAAGTTCACGTTCTTGTGATTGAGTTGTTGCTCAAATTCTGATCTGCTGTTGCTAGAACTTTTGGTTGGTTGAGTTGTGCAATTGACTGTCCAATTGGAGACAGTTATTGAGATCTTAGGTGGGATGGTGTCCAATTGCTAAAATTTGTTGCTTTGTTTCGTCACTCGCACTGCTCCTAGTTTGTTCGAGTGAAATTGGTTGGATGTCCTTTGCCCGTGGAGTGTAACTGTTACATTGTTTGGGGCAGTTTTTTGGTATTGATTGAATTGTTGGGCGTAAATTGCTTAGGACTTTACATTGCTAATTTGGTGGGCCATTTATTGTGCATTACCCTTTTGAATTGGGAGATACCTGTGCTTATTGGGTTTTGACTACTTGGGATTTCTGTTGCATCTGGGGGATAAAATTTGATGACTTTTGTGCCAATTTATTTGTTTGGAAATTGTTGGGGGTAATTTGGGAGTTACTTGTCAATTGGGTCCCGTGTTACCCTCTGCCATTCAGTGGTACTGATTGGTGTGTTTGGCTTTATCACATGTCTTGGGTTGGCCATTTGATTTCAATTTTCCTTGTGCATGCACCAGTGGTACTGGTGAGGGTAATTTACATAATATTTGTTACTCCTGTGTTATTGGTTGCCTAATCGACTACTGGGCATTTGTGGTTGAATTGTTTCTGTCCAACTTCTGAACTGTTGTTGCTGGAGTGCCATTTTCTTGGGTCAATTGCTGATTTTAGCAAGTTGAAGTGGGTAATTGACTGTCCAATTGGAGACAGTTGTTACGATATTGGGTCCGATTGTGTCTAATTGCTGGAAGTTGTTGATTTATTAAGACACTAGCACAGTTCCTAGTTTGTTCGAGTTGCTGTTCTGTTGCATTATTGGGAGCTGTGCTCTAGTATTGTGGCTACTTTCATGCGTTTATTTGTTGAATTGGGATATGAATGTGCCTATTGCTCATTTTGTTGCATCTAATTGACTTGCTTGGGGTAATCTGCCCATCAATTTTAATTACTCAAGTCTTTGGAGCAGTTGTTGCACATTTGGACTACTTTGTTTCTATATCTGACTGAATTGGGACCACAAGTGCTTATCAATTGCATTTGCTATAAGTATTGGGGTATTCGTATAGATTTTAGGAGCCTGCATTGTGCATTTTATTGTTTGGGTTGCCTACTAGTTACCATGGTGAAGCCACGATCCTCCCCCAGGGGCCGACAACTGGCTCCAACTTTCGATGACAGTTGAGAGACTGGAGACTCGAGTGACCCACATTGACATCGACTTGCATAACATGGCGCAGAATTTGGCAGCACTCCGCCCGACCCGCCCCTGTTTTGACAATTTCAGGGAAGTACCGTTGCCCTTCTCTTTACTTTTGTTGTTGGTTTATCACATTGAGGGCAATGTGTGATTTAGGTGTGGGGGGATCAGTTTGGGTGCTAGTATTTTTAGTTTTTAGGTTCTAGAGGTTTTTCTTTTGTTTTAGTTTGATATTTAGTTCTTTTTTTTTTCGTCTATTTTATTTTATTATTATTATTTTTTTTCTTTCTCCTTTTTTCTAGTGGTCAGTCTTCATATGAATACCAAGTTTGATACTGGATTGTTGTCTCTAATTCTGCTATTGCCAAGTCTTATTAATAAAAGGGTATTAAGTTAATGTGGTTGAGTTCAGGAATATCTCTTTGGTGAATATCGGTAATTGCTTAACTTTTTCAATTTTTGGTTAACTTTTCTAGGCATAGGGAATGATTGTTGGCATTTTTCATGTGAATTGGTCCAGTTATTAATTTTAGTTCTCCATGTCTGGAAATTTGAGGCTGGCTGCTGTTAATCTTGTGTTGCTTTTAGATATCGTGCTATATGGATATAAATAAGAGTTGACTGTACTCCGCTAGTAGTTACTACTGAGTAACCGGAGATCTTCACCTAAAGTGTCGATTCTCGCGTCAAAAGGTAGTAGTTATTATGAGTGCGTGGTCCCGTAGCAATTGGAGCTGAGTAACCGGGCTTCTCCATCTATCAAATGTTGGAGTTCGCGTCAAAAGGTTCTAAGGGCTATAGACTAAGTCTTTTGTTATTCAAAAAGGAAAAAAAAAAAGGAAAAGAAACAAAAACAAAACGAAAAGGAAAAAAATAAAATAAAGATTGTGTTAGTATGTGAATAATTCAGCTTGTCGGTTTGTGATCTTAATGTCGAGATTTTGGTTAATAGCTGGACCATTTACTGATAAATGTGAGCAACCATTCCTTTTCCTTAGATTAGTTTGCTTTAAATTGGAGGAGTTGGTGGTTGGGAAGCTAACCGGAGTGGTTTTTCTTGGATCTTAACTGTGATGCTTGATATATGTTTTTCTGGGTATTTTGGCAATATGATAGTTAGAGCAATAGCCATAGTCAAATTTTGGTGTTCAATTGCTGTTCTTATGCTTGAGGACAAGCATGATTTAGGTGTGGGGGGAATTGATAGGGTGTTAATTGTTGGTTATTTTATTGTTAATTTTCCCCTTTATCCTTGCCAAATATTGTTTTAATTATTAATATTTACTTATATTTGGTATTGGACTCAATTTCAGGAAGTGAAACAGAAAATTACCTAAAAGGAGGGACTTGTATGGAAAAATGCAGACTTCTAAGGGCTTCAACCTTTGGGTCCTTGAATTGGTGGGGACCACAAGCTAGTGCAAGGCATTTAGTCATTTGGGCTTTTCAAAGAAAGCAACGTAGAGAGACTTGGAACAACAAGTACTTTGGAGGCTTTGTCCACATGTGCGGGGACCACGGATAAGAAGCATGAGTCATTTGGACTCTAGAAAAAGAAACGTACAAGACTTTGAATTTGGTGTGGGGACCACTAGAGATAGCATTAGACTTCCTTTTGGCTTTAAAAAGGGAGACAAACGTACTGAGAACGGGAATCAATCAAGAGTTTTAGTTTTAGACAGTTTTTAGCATAGTTTTAGTTTTCTTTTCTTAGCTCTTTCGCATGGTTGTTCTCCATTAATGGAGGACTAACCTCTTAATTCTAGTCAAGGGGACAACTGAAGACTTGGTTCAACAATTACTGTGAGATCTAATTTATTTTAATTGCTTCCTTAATTTATTGGTATTTATATGTTTCCTGCTTTTAAATTGCTATAGCTCGTGTGAGTGATTGAATAGATGCGCAATATTTAATTATTCACATAGGCTATTTTGCTAAATAGGGATAATTGAATCCGTAATTGTTCGTTATCTCTATCTTAGTAGCAACTGGCGTAATTGGGTTTATGTCAGGGGAGCATACGATCTAGTTTAAACAAACCCTCGTAGCGTGTTTGTTAGTTAGGATTGGGCCTTTCTAATTATTAATGCAATCTAGAAATTAAATCCTACGGTCGTACTTAGGGTTATTTTTGGGTTAGAGAAATAGCTAACGGTCGTACCTTAGCTATCGAGAAATTAAGGAAGGGTTGGTTGTTTATCGCATGAATGATAACTATAACTAATCTATTAATAAATGTGGAATTATCTGTGAATCGATGATCAGTGCCTGAACCATTTCTGAAGTGTACCCTTGGCTAGAGTTTCCCCAATCATTTCTTTTAATTAATTATTTTCTGCAGTTAATTTATTTAGTTAGCATTTAATCCAAAACCCCCCATACTTTGGACTCTAGAAGAAACAAATTATCCCCAGTCCCTGTGGATTCGACCCTACTCACCGCTATATACAAAATCTGTATTTTTCTCGAGTAGGTATTTATTATTGTACAGGTTCGGCACCTGTCAACGTCTCCTCAATCAGCTTTGTATTCCATTCCTTCTCTATCAACAAGTCTGCCACAGTTTGCAAGTTACAAGCTGGAGGTTTCTGAGTTGCTATTCTCCAGGTTGGTGATGCCATGATCCATTTGTCCCTCCATATGTTGATAGTAGTCCCATCTCCCACTCTCTTCCACATTCCTTTTTTTAGCACCAGTCCAGAGCTGTATATACTTTTCCACACCCATGTTGCGTTCTTTGGAGCTTCTCCATCCCAGCCTGTTTGCGCTATTTTGTACTTTGCTCCTAGCACTCTGCTCACTAATAGGTCTGGTTGCATCAATATCCTCCATAGTTGCTTTGCTAACAAAGCACTATTAAAGTGCTCTAGATCCCTAAAACCCAGACCTCCATTTCCCTTCACCTGTGTAATTTTCTCCCAACTTACCCATTGCATCTTCCTATCCTCTTCATTTTGGCCTCTCCAAAATTTTGCCATTTGACCACATATTTCATAACAAAGTCCTTTAGGCAACCTACAGCATGACATTGTGTAATTTGGTAATGCCATTATGACTGACTTAAGAAGTACCTCTTTTCCTGCATAGCTAAGTAAGTTGTGCTTCCATCCCTGCATTTTGGATTTTGCTTTATCAACAATGTAGGCGAAAACTTGCTTTTTTGATGCTGTTATCATCAGGGGAAGTCCCAAGTACAAATACACCTTTCTGGATCTTGCAAATATATTAGTCAACAAAAAGAGTGCGCAGAAGAACTAAATTGAATTGTTATAGCCACTCATGGCACCAGTTACTAATCATCATGCCTATCCATTGGTATGGGCCTTATATGCTCTTTAACTATAAGATTGGATGCCTACCTGTTATACCCAAAAAGGAAAACAAAATCGACAGCGAAAGATGGACTTGGGTAGAAATGGTGATGCTAATAAGCTACTTCAAGCTCAAGCTCACATATGGAATCACATATTCAACTTCATAAACTCCATTTCCCTCAAATGTGCAATTCAACTCGGCATACCAGACATTAATCACAAGCATGTTAAGCCAATGAGTCTGGATGAACTCACCAATGCTCTTCCAATTGGCAATGCAAAAGCCCCCTTTGTCTATCGTCTGATGAGGATTCTAATCCACTCAGGCTTCTTCATCGAGGCAAAAGTTACCCAGCACGATGAAGAGGAAGGTTATATGCTCACTACTTCTTCTAAACTTTTATTAAAAGATGAGCCTTTTAGCGTGACACCATGCTTGATCCTACCTTGATGGATCCATGGTACCACCTTAGCCGGTGGTTGCAAAACAACAGTGATGTGAATCCCTTCAAGACTTGTCACGGCAAGGTAGTGTGGGAGCTTGCAGGCCAGGATCTGAGGCTTAATAATTTTTTTAATGAAGGAATGGCTAGCGATTCTAGGCTAGTTGGCAGTATTCTGATCAGGGATTGCAAGGATGTTCTTTCAATGTTGAATTCTTTGGTGGATGTTGGAGGTGGAACTGGAACTTTGGCTACGGAAATTGCTGATGCTTTTCCTGACTTGAACTGTATTGTTCTCGATCTTCCTCATGTGGTTGACGGCTTGGTAGCGAATAACAAGAGTTTAGCCTTTGTTGGAGGAAGTATGTTTGTAGCTATTCCTCCTGCAGATGATGTTACAATGAAGGTAAGATCACCTTTCCAAGAAGATGCAACAGATCCCTATTCACCTTTTTGTTGTTAAAAGGCAGCTTAGTATTGATTCTAAACACATCTATATATGCTGCTGATTCATTACAACCATGTCTTTTTGATGTGGTATTCTTGACTAATTTGAATTCTTTGTGATATGAATGTTAATTTAAACAGTGGATATTGCACGATTGGAATGATGAGGAATGATTTTATTTCTTGAGTATTTATTTCTTGTCATGGCCCGTCCCAGGGAAAGAATTTGAGGAATCATTCGTTAACCCCAAGAGACAGACTACAGGGCAGATAACTTAGCCAAAAAGGAGACCCAACATTTAGCCATTGTGCGTAGGGATGCCATTGAGCTTAATCAAGACGAACACTCTAGTATTTAAATTTGTTTGATTATTTTAATGATTTTAAAATTTTATTTAAGTTTGATTTGTTTATTTGTCCAATCGAACTTGAACGAGTTTTTATCGAATTTGAATGCTATCGAATATAAAATGTTATTCGAGTTTGGTTTGACTAGTTATAGAATCAAATTCGAATGAACTCTTAAACTCAATTCAAATATCATATAAATTAGTTCATCTTTCAACTCTAATCGTGCTGTTTCAATTTTTGAATTTTCCTCATCAAAACCTTATTCTTTTTTCTTTTTTGATTCTTTTATACAACTTATGAAAATATAACTATGCAGTAATTTCTTTTCACCTTCACACGAGGAGGCAAGAATTTCAAGAGTAAGGTATCATAAATTCTATATGTATGTTCAACTGTCAAAAAGAAAAAGCTTTTACACAACTCAATAATGAAATTACAGCACGTCTGACCTTTTTGTTACTTTTTCCTTTCACTTTTTTTTTTCAAACAAGCAAAGAAATAGCACATAAACAAAACTATTTACACAACCCGATTAATTCAGAAATTGGAAGGGGGAAAAATCAATAGAGTAGCTGGACAAATACCCAAAGTTGTAGGTGCAACCTAATAGGTTGATGTTCAAGATTCTACCGATTGAAAATGCAGGACAGAGATAAAAAGTATAACAGTACTTTCAAAATTGCCACCATTGATGTTCAAAATTGCGTTTTATTTCATGAAAATTACATCCAAAAAGTATAACCGCAATTTCTTTCCCAAAATCTCTTCCTCAAAATGCAATTCAAACAACCTCTTAATTTTCTTCAAAAGAAAGCTTTTAGAGCTCAAGCAAACATCACTCGCACTAGTATCACCTAACCAGTTTTGCAGCTTCCCTTCATCCAATATGAAAACATCTCGTGTGGGAGCTCATGTCAAACTCTTAACATATATTCGAGGTAAATTTTTACTTTAAAAAGAGACAGGCAATCGTTTCTAGTTGGATTATTCTCACTATATTTATATATTTTGCTTTTAACACCTCGAGACTTGATGATGTACGAGTGGTTTTCTAAATTCACAGGCCAAAGTTGAAGATTTCTAAATTCAGTTTTTATTTCATAGATATACATGACCAGGATTGAAACTCATGGCTTGTTCGTTATCTTTATTCCTTGTTGCTAACCGTCAAATGTGCTTACATGTCGGCTATACTCAGTTCCACTTTGCGTAGTGTACATGGAAACTGAAGATGAAAAAAATAGGGCGTCACTAACTATTGACTAGTGAAGCTTTGAAAAAAAAAACAGAAATAAAGAAAAAGAGAGCTCTTTCTGTAAATGAATTAATTTCTGAAGATCCATGCCACACTTTTTTGCCTAAAACCAAAGTTATTAAATCCCGCCCGGCCAATATTGAATCGGTCAAATCAGTAGATAGGCCATGGAACCAAGCGATTTAGCAATTGGATCGGAGTTGCAAATAACTCGTTTTGAATTATTTGACTCGAACGGTCGAACCTATGGCCCGTTAAACCTGGCTGGTTTCGAAAATTTTTCTGAAATTACCTTTTTACTCAATTTTTTTAGTTGACCAGCCATACCAACATTGGCATTGTCGTCTTTTTGACAATTAGATGAGAAAAATTGAAAAGAAATTTGAGAATTAGGTTTGTTTTTCTTTCTTTGATATTTAGATTTATTATTTATATTTGTGTATAATATCAGTATAAATTCACGAACTAAAAAACACGTATGGGTATGGCTTGTGTGTATAAAATATGAAATATAAATAGGTTATGATTTCTTAACATTTAAGAATTTCTATACTTATATTATAATTTATATGTTTATTTAATTATATTATAAATATTTTTTATTATATAGTGTGATTCGACGGTTCAACCAGTGACCTGCCAGTTGAACCATTGACCCACCAACCCGATCCTCCTGTCAGGTTGATGCCCATGTTAGTTTTAATAACTTAGCCTAAAACCACTTGTTAGTGTCTCCATGTCGCAGGTTGCAAAATCTGCATGCCTATTTGCCCAACTTGAAAATTTCAAATTTAATGCATTTGGGCCCAAATTAATCAATAATTTATTTTTACCCCAAACGGTAAAACTTATGCTAATATTTGCAACAACGTTTTTTCAAGAGAAAAAGCCCTCAAGTACACATAAGAAAACCTATACTATACACAAGAGATACAAATAAAATCAACATGGAAAACATTCAAAATACAATCCCCAGCCCAAAGCTATCTGCCACAAATCAGTATCTTAGCACTTCATTAGGCAAATCCTATCTCATTTTGCGTTCTAACTACTAGATTGTCTTAGTCCAGCCGCATAAAGTTGAATCTTTCAAACCACCTGTTAGAATTCTAGATTTTTTCCTTTTGTTTAGAATTCTAGAAGTTGTTTTTAACGTTATCCCTACATAATCTAGTGATCACAACAAAAATTACTTGAGTAATACAATATCATCTTTTGCATACAGCTTATAGGCTTTAGACTTCTACTATTTTATGTGAGAGGCCACATTAAACAAAATTTCCTTGACGAGTCAAAATTAGAGAATCGACCTTTTGTGAGCCCATTCAAAATTAAAAAGCATCCCGACACTTATTTGAGATTTTCTAATAAAAAATTTCCAGACCACCATTGTAGTGAACAAGGAAGATGATAACATTTTTTTGGATTACCTTTTCTGTAAATGCTTGTAACATGGAAGAGGTCTGCCATCAAGAATACGGCAAAACAATTGCTACCCGGTCGATCCTCGAAAAGCTAGTCAAGCCCCCATAACCATTTGTTTCAACTTTTATGTCACCATCAATGGTGGCAGCTTCAATTTACTCTCAGTCTTGCTCGTGGTTCATTCGTTTTGAATTTTCTCAGTTACTAACTCATAATTGCAATTGCGTCAGAAATTAGATATTTTAATCGAATTGCTTGGGCGTATTTATTTGGTTTGGTGAAGTTTGACACCTCTAGATCTGCCAAACCTATTTAGATACTTTGAAATCGTGGAAACCAATCAAATATAGCCTCATAGGAGGCACAAGAGGAATCTACTGCCATAATTTAGTAGCAGATACGCACTGCTACCCATAATTTACTAGCATATAAATGCAGTCCTGCTTGACCATTTATTGTTTAATTAGGCTACTGAATTAATGCCATTGAATTTGAACAAAAGTTGGAAAAAGCTGAGAATTTAGTTGAGCTTATTGAAGCTCAAACTCATGTGTGGAATGCAATGTTCCACTTCAAGAAATCTGCGTGTCTAAAATGTGCAGTTGAGTTGGGAATCCCAGATGTGATCAGTAATCATGGGAAGCCCATCACACTTTCTGACCTGATTTCTGTCCTCCCAATCCAGCCTTCTAAATCTGCCCACATTTTTTGCTTAATGCGATTCTTGGCTAACTCTGGATTCTTTGTTGAAAACCCTCAAGGCTATGCACTCACCTCTGCAGGTCAGCTTCTTTTGAAAGACGAGGCATTCAATG